CTGCCCTGGTTCCCTGCCCTGCGTGAAGCTGTGCACCAGCTGTTTTGGTGTCTGTCAGCTGCCAGATGAAGAATTGAGCTGCTCCAGGCTGAAGCCGGGCTCCGGTGAGAAGGAGCAGCGCAGTGTAGCATCCGGTGCCCCAGCAGGGCCACCACAGGGTCTTCGGGGACCTGGACCCTCTACCGCGCCTGAAGGCGAGGTTGGAGGAGCAGGGTAGTGAGGAGGGGTAGCAACACTCCATGCTACCACCCTGCAGCCTCCCACACCTCCTCCCCAATCAACCCCAGGCCCCGTTCCACTTTCCCATTTTCTCCCCACACCCAAAAGCAGATCGAGCCTCAGGACTCCCAGACATAGAGTCTCCCTCATCTTCTGACAGAAATCATAGCAGGTTGGCCTTGGTCTGACAAGGTCCATTCTCGGGGCCAGACTTGGGCTGCCTCTGGCCCTAGCAAACCTCTCCTCCCAGCTGGGACTCATTTCCCTCCCCTTTCCTTCATCCCTGCTGAGAGCTGAATGCTTCTCCATCCTTCCAGAAGTCTCCAGGGCCCTGAGTCAGGAGATCTAGAGAGCAGAGAAGCCTGTTACCATCGCCCTCACCCCTTAGCACTACCCACCCTGCTTTTTTCTTTTCTTAAATAAACATGATTAGTGGGGACCTGTATCTCCAAGGCGGGGCCTGGGGGCAGAGTCGGTGGGGCAGGGTGGTCAGGTGGGTGGAGACACGCTGGGCCTCTCTAGTCCCCTTCTCCTTCAGGGTTAATCCCAAGCCCCATCCACCTGTTCTCTGAGGCCTGAGACCTAAAGTAAGTTTACTGGCTGCAATCCTCATTCAATCAACACAAATACAGTAAGCTCCTAGTATCTGCCAAGTGTAAGAGTTAGGAATGTAAGAGAATGGGACCAGTCACACCTATTCAGAGCTGACATTTTAATAGAAGAGAGGAACACACTAGCACACAAATCCTTATTAGCATGTGATTAGGAATAGGAAGGAAGAAAACATGTCAATGAATTAGAAAGTACAGTGGTAGCTTTTCAAACAACTGGCAGGTACTTAACAGCTATCTATTCTGGTTTCATTTTCCCATGAGAATATCTATAATAATAAAAGTGTAATATGCTAATTAGACCAGACACCCAAACGACCTTCTGGATGTCATTCCGGACGTCCTTCTGGATGAAGCCACAGTGGCAGGGGCCAAGGCAGAGGCAGTTAGGGGCAATCAGGCAGGCAGGCGAGCAGTTAGGGACATCGGGCAGGCAGGCAGAGTGGTTAGAGGTGATCAGGCAGGTGAGCAGTTAGGAGCCAGTGGTCCCAGATTGCGAGAGAGATGTCCCAGATTGCGAGAGGGTGCAGGCCGGGCTGAGAGACCCCCATCCCCTGCATGAATTTCGTGCACCAGGCCTCTAGTATTATCTTTATAAATTAGAAAGGGGAGTCTAAAAAAGTATGCACTGTAGTGTTATTAGTGGTTTTCTCTGGATGAGAAAGGATCACAAGTGCTTTTTTCTTTTCTTAAATAAACATGATTAACTTGCACAGAAAGAAAAAAGTGCCCATACTTTTAAATATGGTAGTGAGGCACATTCTTAGAGCTATTAAGCTGAGATTTAAAGGAAATGAAAAAGAGCCTGACACACCGGAGCCCCACTAAAGCAATCCTGTTCTGTAGGGTAAACCCCTGCATAACAGTTCTTCCACTGTACTCATAGCCAGACCTTAGCCAGTCAGCGTAAGTGTCAATCCCTCCCACAGACATGCTAATAGAAATCAGGGCTCAACTACAGAGAAGGGCACACACAATCCACACAATGGACACACCTGGAGCACCTGGCTCAGGTGACCACAGAGAATGTGCCACTGGGCCCCACAGGACACCTACTACATAGACCACTCTACCAAGACCAGAAGCATAGCAGCTCTACCTAATAAATAGAAACCAACACAGGGAGCCGTCCAAAATAAGGATACAAAGAAACAATCCCAAATGAAATAACAGACCAAAACTCTAGAAAAAGAACTAAACACAATGGAGACAAGCAATCTACCAGATGCAGAATTCAAAACACTGGTTATAAGGATGGTCAATGATCTCAGTAATGACTTCAACAAAGAAATAAGAGACATAAAAATGAAGATAGAAAACATAAAGCAGTTAGAAATGAAGAATACACTAACTGAAATGAAGAATATGTTAAAGGGGCCGAAACCGGTTTGTCTCAGTGGATAGAGCATCGGCCTGCGGACTGAAAGGTCCCAGGTTCGATTCCGGTCAGGGGCATGTACCTGGGTTGCGGGCATATCCCCAGTGGGAGATGTGCAGGAGGCGGCTGATCGATGTTTCTCTCTCATCAATGTTTCTAACTCTCTATCTCTCTCCCTTCCTCTCTGTGAAAAATCAATAAAATATATTTTTTTAAAAAAAGAACATATTAAAGGGAATCAACAGTAGAGTAGAAGAAGCAGAGAATCAAATCAGCAATTTGGAAGATAAAGTAGCAGAAAGAAAATAGCAAAAGGAAAAAAGAATTTAAAAAATTAGGATAGTTTAAGGGACCTCTGGGACAACATCAAATGTATCAACATCCACAGCAGAGAGGTCCCAGACGGAAAAGAGAGGAAGCAATGACAGAAAAAATTCCCTAACTGGAGAAGGAAATAGACATACAAGACTAGGAAGCGCAGAGAGTCTCAAATAGGCCGACACCAAAGCCCATCATAATTAAAATCCCAAAGGTTAACGACAAAGAGAAAATCTTAAGAGCAGCAAGAAAAAAAACAGAGAGTTACTTACAAGGGAGCTTCCATAAGTCTGTCAGCTGATTTCTCAACAGAAACTTTGCAGGCCTGAAGGAATTGGCACAAAATATTCAAAGTGATGAAAAACAAGAACCTAAAACCAAGATTACTCTACCCAGCAAAGCTATCACTTAGAATCAAAGGATAAAGAGCTCCCCAGACAAGAAAAGCTAACAGAGTTCATCACCACCAAACCAATATTACATGAAATATTAAAGGGCCTTCATGAAGAAAAAAAGATCAAAAGTATGAATGATAAGCCCTAGCCGGTTTTTCTCAGTGGTTAGAGCATCAGCCTGCGGACTGAAGGTCACAGATTCAATTCCAGTCAAGGGCATGTACCTTGGTTGCAGACTCCATCCCCAGTCCCCATCAGGGTGAGTACAGGAGGCAACCAATTGATGTGTCTCTCTCACATTGATGTTTCTCTCTGTTTTTCTCCTCTTCCCTTCCACTCTCTCTAAAAAATCAATGGAAAAAATATCCTTAGGAGAAGATTAACAACAAAAAGCATGAATAATAATATGGCAATAACTACATATCTATCAACAATTACTTTAAATATAAATGTATTAAATGCTTCAATGATAAGACATAGGGTGGCTGAATAGATAAGAAAACAAGACCCTCGCCCTGGCTGGTGAGCTCAGTGGTTAGAGCATTGGCCCATGTCCCAAAGGGTTGCAGGTTCGATCCCCATTCCTGGTCAGGGCACATGTCTAGCTCACATCGATGTTTTGTTTTCTCTCTCTCCCCCTCCCTCCCTCCATCCTACCCTCTCTAAAATTCAATGGAAAAAATATCCTCAGGTGAGGATTAACACAAAAAAAAAGAAAGAAAAGAAAAAAAGACCCTTATATATGCTGCCTACAAGAAACTTACTTCAGATCAAAAGACACACACACATTGAAAGAAGAGATAGAAAAAGATATTTCATGAAAATGGAATTGAAATTAAAAAGCTGGGGTAGCAATACTTATACCAGACAAAATAGACGTTAAAACAAAGGCTCTAACAAAAGACAAAGAAGGACCCAGCAATTCCACTTTTGGGTATTTATCCGAAGAGATCGAAAACACTAATTCAAAAAGACATATGCACCCCTATGTTCATTGCAGCATTATTAACAACTAGGGGCCCAGTGCACAAATTAGTGCACCTTGAAAGGAACTGTGGGCCGCGAGGCTGCAGTGGGCATAGGGGCGGGTCTTGGCCCATCCTCTGCGCCCTTATGGTGTTAGAAGTGTACTAGATTTACGGGGGTGATCACCTTATAAGTTATATTAATGTCTAATCACTATGTTGTACACCTGAAACTATTATGATATTGTATATCAACTGTAATTGAAAAATAAAAAATTACTCCAAAAAATAAAATTTTAAAAAAATGATAAAGAGCCTGATATACAAAGAGCTACACAGAGGCAATAGCAGGTGCGAAGGCCCTGAGTCAAGGTCCAGGTTACTATGTGATAATATCAGGAAGCTGTCGGTATGGCCACAGCATTTGGATGGGAGAGCTTTGTGGGCCTGAAAGGAATTTAGGGAAGTCATTTGGAGAGTTTTAATCGGGTATAATCTGGGTAACAATGCTTCAAATTCACTCTGGCTCTTCAGTGGTCCCTGTAAGAAGTGATGATGGTTTAGCTTCAGAGGGTGGCAGTGGCTATGAAAAAAGGAGACAGATTGAAGGTTTATTTAGGAGGGAGGACGAACAGGGCTTGCTGATAGAGTCTAGGTGAGGGAACACAGGAGCATGGATCTCATCAGCCCAGGTCAACTCCATCCCCCAAAGCAGGGCCCAGGCATAGCCAGAGACAAACCCCCTGCCCCACCCCTGCCCTCCATCCTATGGATGTACCCTGTAGCCGCCCTACTTTATCACTTCTGTCTCCATTCCAATTCTTCTTTTAGAGTCCTGGAAAATTAGGAAAAGATCCCCAATAGCCTTTTGGGAAGGTGTGCCCCTACCCTGACATTGCCATTCCTGGGTCATAGTTCAATTAAGTGTGTGCTTTCGGTACCAGCAAAACAGGCACACTAAAAAAGTGTGAAAATCAGTCTTAACACATAATTTACTAAATACAGTATGAAAGGTTTCTTGAATATAGAAAAATAATATTTTTGTAAGAAAATATTATAAACAACTATATGCCAACAAATTGGACAATCTGGAATGAATGGATAAATACCTAGAAGCATACAATCTTCCAAAACTGAATCAGAGAGAATCTGAATAGACAGATTACAACTAGTGAAATTAAAATAGTAATAAAATAAAAAAAACTCCCAACAAACAAAAGTCCCGGACTGGATGGCTTCACAGGTGACTTTTGCCAAACATTCAAAGAAGAACTAACACCTATCCTTCTCAAACTATTCCAAAATATTCGAGAAGAGGGAAAACTCTGAAGCTCATTTTATGAGGCCAGTATTATCCTAATTTCAAAACCAGATAAGAAAGAAAATTATAAGCCAATATCTCTGATGAACATAGATGCTAAAATCATTAACAACATATTAGCAAATCAGATCCAGCAATACATTTAAAAGATCATACAACATGATCAAGTGGGATTTATTCTGGGGATGTAAGGCTGGTACAATATTCACAAATCAACAAATGTAATGCCTCACATAAACAAAATAAAAGATAAAAACCATATGATCATATAAATAGAGGCAGAAAAAACATTTGTTGAAATCCAGCACCCAGCCCTAACCGGTTTGGCTCAGTGGATAGAGCATCGGCCTGTGGACTGAAGGGTCCCCGGTTTGATTCTGGTCAAGGGCATGTATCTTGGTTGCGGGCATATCCCCCAGTAGGGGGTATGCAGGAGGCAGCTGTTCGATGTTTCTAACTCTCTATCCCTCTCCTTTCCTCTCTGTAAAAAATCAATAAAATATATTTTTTTAAAAATCTAGTACCCATTTATGGTAAATAAATAAATAAATATATATATATTCAGCAAAGCAGGAATAGCAGGACCGTACATCAACATAATAAAGGCCATATGTGAAAAACCTATAGCCAACATCATATTCAATGGGAAAAACTACAAATATTCCCCTTAAGATTGGGAAGAAGACAGAGATGTCTCCTTTCTCCATTCTTATTCAACACTAGAGGCCCGATGCACGAAATTCGTGGATGGGGTGGGGGGTCCCCTCAGCCCAGACTGCACCCTCTCCAATCCGGGACCCCTCAGGGAATGTCCAACTGCCCGTTTGGGCCCGGGATTGGGCCTAAACTGGCAGTCGGACATCCCTCTCACAATCCTGGACTGCTGGCTCCTAATCACTCACCTGCCTGCCTGCCTGGTCGCCCCTAACTGCCACCCCCCCTGCCGGCCTGGTCGTTCATAACTGCCCCCTTCCTCCCGCCCCCCTCGCCCGCCTGGTGGCCCTACGCAGCCTGCTGTTCAGTCATTAGGTCATCCCTCACTAACCCCCTTACCAGCCTGGTCGCCCCACACAGCCTGCTTGTTCAGTCGTTTGGTCATCCCTCACTAACCCCCCTGCCGGCCTGGTCGCCCCACACAGCCTGCTTGTTCAGTCGTTTGGTCATCCCTCACTAACCCCCCTGCCGGCCTGGTCGCCCCACACAGCCTGCTTGTTCAGTCATTTGGTCATCCCTCACTAACCCCCCTGCCGGCCTGGTTGCCCCACACAGCCTGCTTGTTCAGTCATTTGGTCATCCCTCACTAACCCCCTTACCAGCCTGGTCGCCCCACACAGCCTGCTTGTTCAGTCGTTTGGTCATCCCTCACTAACCCCCCTGCCGGCCTGGCCACCCCATGCAGCCTGCTTGTTCAGTCGTTTGGTCATCCCTCACTAACCCCTCTGCCATCCTGGTTGTAGGCAGCCATCTTGTGAAGGTGCCAGGGTTAATTTGCATATTACCTCTTTATTATATAGGATTTATTATATAGGATAGTGCTGGAAGTCCTAGCCATAGTGATCAGACAAGAAGAAATAAAAGACATTCAAATTGGAAAGGAAGAAGTATAACTGTCATTATTTGCAGATGATACATTACTGTATATAGAGAACCTTAAAGATCCCACACACAAAAACTACTAAAACTAAAAAATAAATTCTGCAAAGTAGCAGGATACAAAATAAACATCCAGAAATCAGTTGCATTTTTGTACACCAATAATGAACTATCAGAAAGAGAAACTAAGAAAACAATTTCATTCAAAATTGCTCCAAAAAAAATAAAATACCTAGGAATAAATTTAACCAAGGATGTAAAAGACCTGTACTCAAAGAATTATAACACACTGAAGAACAAAATTGAAGAAGATACAAATACCAGTAAGTGGAAGCATATACCATGTTCATGGATAGGAAGAATTAACATCATTAAAAAGTCCATACTACCCAAAGCAATCTACAGATTCAATGCAATTCCTATCAAGATACCAATGGCATATTTCACAGAACTAAAACAAATATTCCAAAAACTTACATGGAACCACAAAAGACCTCAAATTGCCACAGCAATCTTGAGAAAAAAGAACAAAGTTAGAGGAATCTCGCTACCTGATATCAAACTATACAAGACCAAAGTAATCAAAACAGTATGGTATTGGCATATTGATCAATGGAACAGAATAGAGAGCCCAGAAATAAACCCATGCCTTTAGTCAATTAATATTTTACAAAGGAGGCAAAAACATACAGTGGGGTAAAGATAGTCAATTCAATAAATGGTGTTGGGAATATTGGACAGATGTGTGCAAAAAATGAAACTAGACCACTTCCTGACTCTATAACAAGAATAAACTCTAAATGGATTAAAAACTTAAATGTTAGGCTCCAAACCATAAATATCCTAGAAGAAAACATAGGCAGTAAAATCTCAGTCATTTCTTATAACAATATTTTTTCTGATATATCTCTTCGGGCAAGGGAAACAAAAGAAAAGCTAAACAAATGGGACTACATCAAACCATCAACAAAATAAAAAGACAACCCACTGAATGGAGAACATATTTTTCCATACATCCGATAAGGGCTTAATATTCTAAATTTAGAAGGAACTTATAATAAAACTCAACACCAAAAAAAAGAAAAAATCCAATTAAGAATGGGCAAAGGACCTGAATAGACACTTCTCTAAAGAAAACATACAAATGGCTAATGGATATATGAAAGCATGCTCAACAATACTAATCATCAGAGAAGTGCAAATTAAAACCACAATGAGATATCATCTCTGCACCTGTCATGTGGAGAAAAGAAAATGTAGATTGGTGCAGCCACTATGGAAAGCAGTATGGAGTTACCTCAAAAACTTAAAAATGGACCCAGTGAGTCCACTTCTGGAAATATATCCAAAGAAACCCAAAACACTAATTCGAAAGAATATATGCACCCCTATGTTCATTGCAGCATTATTTACAATAGCCAAGATTTGGAAGCAGCCCAAGTGCCCATCAGTAGATGAGTAGATAAAAAAGCTGTGGTACATTTACACAATGGAATGCTACTCAGTTGAAGAAATAAGGAAATCTTGCCTTTTTCGATAGCATGGATGGACCTGGAGAGTATTATGCTAAGTGAAATAAGTCAATCAGCGAAAGTTAAGTACCATATAATTTCACTTACATGTGAAATCTAATGAGCAAAATAAACTTAAAAAGTGGAGACAGACTCATGAATACAGAGAACATACTGACAGCTATCTGAGGGGAGGGAGTTGGAGACTGGGTGAGAAGGGTGAAAGGATTAAGGAAAGAAAAAAAGAGAAAGGCTCACAGACACAGAGAACAATAAGGTGATTGCCAGAGGGAAGGGGGTTGAGGAAAGGTAGAAGAAGGGAAAGGGGGAATAAATGGTGATGGAAGGAGACTTGACTTGGGGTGGTGAACACACAATACAGTACACAGATGATGTGTTGTAGAATTGTATACCTGAAACCTGTATAATTTTATTAACCAATGTCACCCCAATAAATTCAATTTAAAGATATATAAAGAAATAAAATAGTATGGTAATGGAAAAAAAGAACATTTTATGGAAAGAAGGAGGTATCATAATCGGTGTGCTGAGATCTCTCCCTGCAACCCCAGGTGCTCCAGGCCAGCTCTGCTACTGGAGACCAACTGGACCAGGGTGCCCTTCTTAGAGGCATTTGGGGAATGAAAGCAGCAGTGGGCAAAGATGCCTCTTTGTGACCACTAGATGGTGCCAGACACTAAGCTTTGTCTTTGTCCATGGCAGAAGAAGGTGGTCCCTCAGAGCAGAGGTACTGATCAGGATTTGAAATATAAGGTGAGAATATTGTTATGAAAGTAGTTGCCACTGTTGAATACCAACTGTGTGCCAAACAACACTGTGGGAATATTTGCATCATTTATTCAACATAGTGAATGAGCATCTATTATGTGGCTGGCACCAATCCTCTTCTTAGAGCAGAGAAAGCAAACATACAATATATCAAGTGGAGATAAATGCCAGAAGCATGAAGTAAGGTCAGGGGTGGGGAGGGATGTGCTGTTTTATACAAGGTAGCCAGGAAAGCCTTGCTGAGGAGGTGACATTGGACTTAGTAGTGCTCACAATGCCATTTTATAGAAGGGGAGATGGAGGCTAAGAAATGTAAAATAAGTTGCCTACTGGATCCTGGAGGTGGAAATGAGCATGGACAGGGGACAGGGGAGATTGGGAAGAGGTTCAATAACCCCTCCCCATCCCTGCTAGACAGAGAGGCTCCACAAACCCATGGTGGGAGTGGGAGCCCCTCCCCCACCTCCAGCCCTAAAACCACACCCCTCACCTGTGAAGAAGAACCACAGCACTCCTAGGGTAGTGGCCGCACGCACACCTGTGCCAGGGCTGCCCATCTTCTTCTGAGGCAACTGACAGCTGGGCTCTCGGTGGCGGAAGGCTTCCCCTGCCTGTGAGGAAGAGGAATTGAAGCCTTTGTCTCAAAAGGTCCTCCCCAGGCATACTCACCCCATCTCCCCTGGACCAGCTTGGGGCAAGGTTGCAACTGCCAGCTGAGAGGTCCTTCCTCCCACGCACCCACAAGGCGCTCTGCTGAGGGAATTTCCGAGAGATGCTGGCAGGAACTGAGTCACTGGGGAGGCTAAACCAGGAGAGGTGGCTGTGACCCACCCTTTCAGAACGAAGATGCAAGTAGGAAGAGGAGGCAAGTAGAGGCAAGGTCAGCCTGCTCAGGGCAAGGATGTGCTCAGATCAGCGTGGGGAGAGGAGCTGAGGTTGGAGCCAGACTTAGACATAGACTAAGAGGTCTGGCCTTTACCTTGAAGGCAGCTGGGAGCCACCAAAGATTCTGGAATTGAGGAAAGGATATGGTCCTACTTTGCTTCATAAAGATTACTCTGCAGGCATCTGCAGGACAGAAGAGACAGAGTAGATCTGGGTGAAAGAGACAGAACTGGAGGATGTGGGGACAGAGAAAGGGAGCAGTGAGGGGCCCACGGTTTTGTGTCCAGTGACCGGTGGGGTACTCACTGAGACAGAGACGGGTTCAGTGCAGGGCATGTGATGTTAGCATGGTTTGTGCAGAAACTTCCAAGAGCAAGTTCTAGAAGGCAGCTGGGTGTATGAGTGTGGGGCCAGAGAGAGGGAACATTTGCTAGTTTCATAGATATAGACTGAGTGACCAAGACAATCAGAAAGGGAAGAGGCTGACCTCTTGGGGCTGACCCCCAAGACTGGAGGCAGGACTGAGTGAGAGGTAGGCCTGTGGCCTCAGCAGGGACCCCAGACCTCCCTGGGTTCGGCCCTGCTCCCAATCTTGGCTGTGCCCAAGGTGTCTGACTTGGGCAGGCTGCTCGAACCTTGTCTGTGTCCCACCGCTGCTGCCTGATTGCTCCTGCCAAGCCATGTAGCCAGTGTCCATCTAGGCTATCCAACACGATTGCCAAGCCTATAAACAATTTCATGTTCTCATAGCCCCCAGGGGAAACAGGCTGACCTGCTTGATCCCATTTTGTAAAAGAAAAAATTAAAGCCCAGATAAGTGATTGGCGTATTAATATGATGTAATTTGACAGTTAGAACAGCTGAGAAGTATTTGGGTTCCCAACCACAACTTTCTGCCCTTCCACGGAGCAAATCTCTACATTAGCATCAGCTCCTGTCACAGGCAACTGGCTTCAACCCTTCTAATCCCAGCCAAGAACCCTCCCCCCGACCCCCACCCCCACATACCCAGAAGCGGGGCTGAGGGAGTCGCTCAGGCTGACCGGGTGCATCCTGCCAGCCCCCTTCCCAGCTGTCCGCAGTGGGGAAGCCCTGAGCAACCACTTCCTTCCCAGAGGCTTCCGGTCCAAACCTGGTGGCTCAAAGCCACCTGCTGGTCAACAGTCTCTCCCCACCCTCCCCCACCCCGCATTCATAAAGGCATCCTTGGCAAGCACCACATCCTGCCTACAAGGGCCACCATGGCCCTCAGAAAAAGCCAGCGCGCAGCTGCCATGCCAGCCTGCCCCTCCGAAGGGGACTAAGGATGAAGAAGCTTCCAGATTCCAAGTCTCCCTTCCTCACTTTCACCCCCAGACAAGCCAAGGCCTGTCTGTTCTTCCTTCCCTCACCCTCTCCCTGCTGCTCTTGCCTACAGTCTCCTACCCTGACTCCATGGCAACCCTCCTTACTGCCCCTGCTATCTCCACTCTGCCCCCAACGATAACCCCACTCTCTGCAGTGCTTCCTCTTAGGGCAACACATGAACCTGCTCATGTCCTTCCCCCGCTCAAGAGCCCCCCATGGCTCCCCATTTACTATCAAAGTTAACCCACATCCCCTGCCCAACACTCAAGACCTTTCTTAATGACTGCCACCTCTGTATAGCAAGTTAATTTCTGCCACTGGGGTTTTACTCCCCAGCGTGTCGTGGAAATGCCTGCCACCTCTGTGAATGTGGGGGATCCCGGAGCACCTGTCTCCGGACCAGACCTATCAGGACTCCCCAAGGACCCAGCTGTCCTTCCCTCCAGTGGAAGAATGAGGGGATCCCAGGGGCTTGTTCCCTTTGATTCCTTTCCTAGACTCTGGACCCAGGAAAACTCCAAATTTTGTGGCTAACCCTGGGAAGAAGACTGAGAGCCCAGAACTGAGGAGACCAGAGAATTCTGCAGCCCCCAGTGGCTCTACCACAGCAGCTGCCCCCCCACCCCCACCCCACAAGAGCAGAGGGCAGAAAGGAAAAACAAACCTAGAAGCCTGCCTGGGAACAGAAAGCCAATCACCACGTTCTGACAGATAAGCAGCCCTGCCCAGTACTTACTAGTAGAGCCCCTCTCCAGACCAAGGGCCTCCGACTGCTTTCATTTGTAGGGCCCTGCCCACCTTCTCTAAAAGGGGAATTCTCACCCCCCAGGTGAGACCTGCCCTGCAATATATGCCACCCCCTCCCCCACCCCACCCCCACCCCCCTCCAGTGAGTCACCAGCCAGCCATTCCTCCCTCCTCCTGCCCCTCCCTTCCCTAACCCAGTCCTGGCTGAATGTGGGAACTCCCAGCTCTGCCAGGAAAGACCAGAGTGCCTGGGCTTTCTGAAAGAAGCAGGAGTTAGGGCCCAGGCCACCTTTAGCCTGAGAGTACAGCAGGCGCATCCAACTCCCTGACGTGGAGCCACAGGGAAGCTCCTGAGAAATGACCCAAGATGTGACCCCCATAAAACCAAAACCAAAAACAACAAGGGCTGAGACTGGGTTCTATATCAAGATGCCCTGGGCTTGGGGGTGCCCAAGAGGGACCCCTTACCCCAACCAATGCTACTAGCAGCTGCCCTTATTCTCCAGCCTCCTCCCAACCCTTGCAGGGGGTGCTTGGGCAGCACTTCCCACAAAGAAGTGAAGAAGGGTCAAGCAATGTATCCAGTGTCAAATCTATGCTAACCGGCACAGTACAGATGCACTGCTTCTAAAAATAGCAGTTAAGCCAAGGCAAGCTGCACCCCTAGACTGCCCTGTGCTTCAGCCAGTCTTTTTTTTTTTTTCTTAAGCCAGTTTGAACTAAGTTTCTATTACCTGCCATTGAAGGAGTCCTCTGATATACAGTCATTCATGTATTCCATAATGCATTTAACTATTAGGCAGGTGCTAGGACAGAGAGATGACTAAAATCAAGGAGCCTGCATTCCAATAGGGAATCACTGCAGTTCACTGTACTAAAGATGCAGTGAGGGTCACCTGGAGGCACCTCAGAGACATGATAATCCTGAGTCCTGAAAAATGATTAGTACTCCCCCAATAGACAGACTGGGACATGTGGCTCCTCCCCAGCCTGAGTCCTCCTGGCACTGCCTGTCTGCCTCTCAGCTGAACTCTTTGAAGAGGTAGAAAGTGTGAGGTTCTAGTCCTAGTTCTGACACTTTACTGGGCAGTCTTCACAGGTGACTTCCCTCTCTGAGCTCAATGTTCCCATCCATAAATGAAGAGCTTTGCTGGATGCTATTAGAACTTCATTAGTGTGTTTAGCCTTTGTGTACTAGTTAAGGTTAGCCAATTAGGTGCCATGCAGGTCACATTGAAATGTACAAAATCACTATGACAGAAATGACAAGTTTTCCTCTTACACCTAATCTTTTCTTCTTCTGTAGAATTTTTAGTTAGGCACATGGCCGATCAGCTAAAGACTACATATACCAGCCTGCCTTGCAGCTAGCTGTGGTCATATGACCATTTTCTAGCTAATAGGATGTGAGAGCCACTGATGTGTACAACTTCTGGGTCATGCCCTTAAAGAGAAGGCATATAGCCTCTCTTTTCTCTTCCCCCTTCCCACTGGCTGGAACACAGATGTGGGGCCATGCTGCCAAAGGCAGCTCCCTAGGGATTGCAGAGCAGCAAGACAGAAGGCTCCTGCAGGGCTTAGTATCAGCCCTGGACTACCCCGACTGTCACATGGGTGAGAAATAAGCATCTATTCTAGCATAAGTCACTGTTGTTTTAGGTCTTTCTTACAGCACCTGAAGTAACTAATTCAGGGAGCCATCCCTCCTTTACTTTCCTTCCTTCTCTCTCCACTCTGCTTACCCCATGAAAATTGCCACTACTCAGAGCAGCTAAAGAAGCCACATATAATATAGGTATTTCAAAATAAGAACTGGACACTCTCTCATTAGAGTCACGTTGGTGCCTGGCCCAAATATGAATTTCAAAGGTAGACATGATGGGCTTGTTTGTATGGGAGGGAAGGGCTAAAAGAGTAATGTCTGCCTCTCAGCTGAACTCTTTGAAGAGGTAGAAAGTGTGAGGTTCTAGTCCTAGTTCTGACACTTTACTGGGCAGTCTTCACTTGAACAAATAGGAAGGTGGCACACATAATAAGATAGGGATACCTGGAAAGGAAGCATGTATGGGGGAAGAACAGTTCCTAGTGGGCTTGAGCTATGGATCATCCATGCCAGAATGTCTGATGGACTCCTGAAGACAGAGAGCTGGAGCTCAGAACAGACAGGGACAAGGACGCCATCCATGCATTGGTGGTCACAAAGCCAAAGTTGGAATCAATGATTTAAAAAGACAACAGTGTACCCAGCTGCCAGCCCCTTTCTCACGCGCCTCCGTACCTCCGCACTTCCACACCTCTGCACCTCCTACCAGGCTCAATGCGTTTTTCTCTTTCCTTCTAGTTGTAGAATTTTCACTCAGCCAGCCTTCCCGTGGTTCTGGATGATATTCGTTTTGTCTTTTAGTTGTAGTTTTAATGTGGTTGTGCACGGCAGCAAGTTCAGGTGTTTACCTATGCCGCCATCTTGGTTGTCTCGGTATGAAGTTCTCATCTGTGGGTTGTGCATGCCTGTAAATATTGTATATAAGAATGTCTCTGTTGATGTTTTGTGTCTCCTTATTGTTTGGTTTAATTTGTTTAAAGATGGGGCATGTCCCACTTTGGGGGGCCCAACTGCTTGTGGCAGGGATTG